GACCCACCCCTGAGATGCGGACGCGGGCCGCACTCTGCATCGCTAAGTTGGCTCTGAGCAAGACCAGGCGCCCATCTTCCTCTACGTCCATGCCCGAATACCACGCCGGCATGCGTCGTTCACCGGCCAAACTCATTGGGATAAGGCGGAACTCGCGCGATGGGAGGCAGCGTGGCTTGCCTGTTGTGAAGCGGGCATGCAGACAACGTCGAGCCTCGGCGCCGTCTTCAACACTCAAACCTCAAAAGAATTCAAAGAATGGGCCGCCAACCAATCCCCGCGCCCACTCAACCGTCCGCTTCTCCAATCCACTGTCTCTCTTCTCGCGGTCTTCGAAGGCTCTGGGGCAGTGTCGCGGTATTATTCCAGCCTCCGTGCCAACTCACTTGGGGTGGCACGTCGTGCTCCGTCGTCCTCGTCTTCGATCAGCGGAGCGCCATGCTCGTCCTACTCGGCGTGTTCTGTCTCTCCCAGGTCCTTATCCCCCTGCTGGTGCTCGCTGATCGGAAACTGCTCACTTTTGGGCGGCGTCGGAGCCCCGCAATGACAGACGCACTTCGACATGAAAGCGCGAGGCAACTTGTCGGATATAATATCCCTAGGAATCGGCCCAGGCGGATCAATGCGAAGTATAGCCTCGGCATACTGTTCCGCTTCTTCGCCCTGCCTCTCGTCTGATTTGACTCGTCCTCTTCGTCCGCCAGGCTGTGGATCGCGACCTGAACCCGGCGAACTGCCTGGCCGCCAAGAGGCGGATGGTTGTTTTCGTCAGACACATCCAGACTGACCAACTCTGGGCCCTCCTGAACGGGCGGTTGCCTATGCTTGGGTCTGGCACCCTCGAACGGGCCCCTGGTCTTGAGCAGGCGGGGCAATGTCCGCGGGTGAAGGAACACGCGGGGCAACCGCCGCATGGCCCTGCGCCCCCCCTTCCATGCCCGCGGCGGAAGACTGCCCTCGCTCGATCTGGGGGCGTTCCGAATCGACTTCCACGCTCGCGGCGGAAGATTGCCCTCGCTCATTCTGGGGGCGGTCCGAGTCCACAGACACTGGCGTCAAACTGTCAGTCGCCTCAGTCAGCTCCGCCGCGCCCTCGTCGATCTCAGTCCGGCGCCACCTTTCAATGAACCTCTTCTCGCGGGCAGAGATCCCCGCGGGGGCGTCGCGATTGCGCGCGTCAGCCCTGCGCGGATATGCGCGCTGGCGGGGATTGCGCCGGTCGGCGCGCAGCGCGGCATCGGGTCTTTCGCAGTAGCCGCACGAAGCCGCCAGGTTAAGCAACGATAGCCTCGCTTCGAACCCTCGCGCACCCCCCCCCTGTAAGACGCGCAGTTTCATCCAAGTTGAGGACAGATGTATACCTGCCCAGTACGGGACATAACCCCCTTTACCATCAGCGGGCGTCCCTCGGTCAACGGCCTCGCGTCGCCCATCGGGGGCGGTCGACGGAACGGCGCCCTCTCCCGAGGATCATGCGGCGGCGTGGCTGGGGGAGAAGAAGGACCCAGCTCCTTCGAAGGGGGGCGAAGTCTGGCGCGCGCATGGCAAATCCTCCTGAACCCCGCTCCTCCAAGGTCCCCCCAGCTCGAGCGCAGGCGCGCCTCCCCGGGTGGATGGTCTCACGATTGGCCATTGTCTAAGCGTGGATGTTCTCGCCGTCGGTCCGGGCGAATCGATGCCGGACTTCTTGCCGAAACGGACCCCTCCTCTCATCATCCTCAGCGCCGCCTACTTCTGCGTGGTCGCCAGCTCTGGATCAGGCGCAACACCTCTTTGGCCCATGTCACCATTCTCTCCTTCAGGGGCCGACGGATTCATCAACTTATAAGTTGTGAAGTCTCCGATCGAATACTGCGCCCAGCGGTGCCCACCTCCACCTTTGCTGGGATGACGTTGCGCATCTCGAGCTTCAGCATTCTGTCATAGCGGACCAGGGTGTTCACGTGCGGAGGTACAGAGCGCTCTCTATAGAACTGGTATGTCTCCATCCCTGTTGCCCAATCCATCTCACCAACCCAAGGCAGTCCAATGTCTGCAGCAAATGCTAGGAGGCGTTCGATGAGCAACTTCCTGCCGTCACGAATATCCTGAACCTGCTCTCGCTGCCGTGGACTGCGCAGTCCCCGACGAGCCCCCCGAAACTGCACCTTGCTGTCGGTGCTCTCAGGGCCATGGCCCTCCATGCGCTGCGCCGCCCCCCGCGCGCGCCAGAAGGGCGCGCCCCCCCCCCCGCGCGAAATCCCGCCCCCCCCGCCCCCCCCCCCCCCACCACACACACACACACACACACTGAGGCGAAGGGGCCTGGATCGACGCAGCGGCGAAATAAAGCTCGAACGCATCTCCGCGCGACGCCTCGGCACGGGGCGACCACGGCCCCTTGGCGTGTGTTTGCGGAGGTGCAGCGAAATACAAGCGGGGGGCAGTGCGCATTAGACTCTGAGGATGCGAGCAACAATGCTGCCTGTTCTCCCCCGCGCCCACGGCTTTGGATCCCCCGGGCTCCGAGAGCGGAGCCAGAATCTGAAAATCGCACGTCGCCGCCAGCCCGTCGTTGAAAACTCGGCCGCTTGGGAGTTGATGGCGCGCTGCCACGGGATGCTCGAGGAGTCCTCGAAGGCGCGCGCCCCATCCGCAGACGCGTTGGAGGTTGTACAATGCTGATTATTCCTCCGTCTCGCTCTTTGGAAGCATCGAAGACGCCCGCGCTGAGCACTGCACCGAGCCTGTTGATGCTGATCGCGCGCGAATAGAACTTTCACCCCTCGCTCCTTTCGTAGCTGGGCGGACAATCGAATGGCAAAGTAACAATTGCGTGTTCTTGTTGACCATCAACCACAAGCCCCGTAATGTCAAAAAAATCGCATAGCGTCCCTGACACGCCGTTGTCACCTTGTACAGACGCCTCGCACACAGCCGCTCAATTACTGATCGGGCGAGGTATTCTTTGGTAGGCGTTTGGCAGCTGCCAGCCAGGCGAGACGTCGTCTGGCATCAGCTGGCGGTCCGGCCCCTGTGGCATCGATGGAACATGCGACAGTCGCAACTCTATCGGGGGCGGCCTCTCTGCCTATCCGTATACCCTTGTTCTCAGTCGTCTCGATCGTGTCAGGCCCGATAGTGATTGGCTTCTGGTGTGGCTGGCTCGACTCGGAGGCACGGGGGCAAACTATAGCTCTCCCGTCGACGTTGCAAGTCGGGCTGGCCTCCTTGCTTCCATCCGCGATGCGGAAGCGAGAGTCCTCGAACAAAGAGCCCGGTATCTTTTGCAAGTCCTCCACCAGGCTTCTGCCCCACGTGTTCGGGGCGTCGTTGGCATAGCCAACGCGAGCCCCGTATGGACGCTAACCGGGTTATGCGCCGTTGATACACCTCTTTTCAATAATGCTTCCATGCACCAGTTCATCCTGTCGTCACACGTTATCTCGCGGAACGCAAATTGCCATCAGGCAACATTGCTAGAAAAGAGAGGCGATCTTCTCTCTGCACCCCCCATTGAATTACCAATCACCCGCCGGATGAAGGAATTCCCATCGAAGGGTCTGGACATCACGGACTCCCTGGCCGCGCCGAGGCCGAAGTCCCGTCCTGGGCACGCCCAGAGGAGCACGGGCCGTCACTTACGCGGATGTGGCGGTTCGCCTGCACGCGAGGCCCACGCCTCTGTGCCGAGCTGGGCGGAAGTCCGTACCCGCCGCGGCGGGGGGCCGCGCTCGGCTGCGGACGCTCCCGGTACGAGGACGGGAACGGCGCCGCGGACGGAAGGCGGGATTGAAAGCGCCGGCGCCCCTGCCCGTGCACCGAAGACACGCGCTGGGCGTGTTCGGAGAAGCAAGGGCCACGCGGGTGGAAGCTTGCCCGCACGCGAGGCCCCAGGGGGCCGTCCCGAGCTGGGCGGAGGTTTCCTCCTCCTCCTCCTCCGCCTCCTCCTCGCCCTCCTCATCCTCCGCCTCCTCCTCCTCCTCCTCCTCCTCCTCCTCCTCCTCCTCCTCCTCCTCCTCCTCCTCCTCCTCCCCCTCCCCCTCCCCCTCTTCCTCCTCCTCCTCCTCCTCCTCCTCCGCCTCCTCCTCCTCCGCCCTCCGCCTCCTCCTTTTCGTCCTCGTCCCCCTCCTCCTTTTCCTCCTCCCCTCGTTCTCTTCCTATTCCTCCCCCTCTGGAGGCTCCCGGCACGGGGACGGAGGAGGAGCCGCGGACGGAGGGCAGGCTCGAGGAAGTCGCCGCCCCTGCCCGTGGGCTCGCGGATCCACCCGCATTGCCCAAACGGAAAAACCGGCGCCTGCGGCGGGGTCGCTGCGCACGTTTAAAAAGAGAGGCGCATGCGGCGGGCTTCTTCAGAGCCTCGCAAAAGGCCGACGTGCCCGCCGCCCCCTTACTCTTCTTACTCTTATCCTCACCTGCGGGGTGCCACGTACTATTCGAGATTCACTCGACGCCACAGGGGGCGCGGTTCCCAGGAGCTGAGGCACTCTAAGTGCAAGCGCTGCCACCGAAGTCTTTCGTCCCGGCATCCCTTGTGGGAAGTCCATGCGAGGGGTGCCGCCCTGACCAGCCCTGTGAAACTCGCCCCCCTCTTCTCCATTCTGGAGTTGCGCACATCCACCTCCTCCTCCTCCTCCTCCTCCTCCACCTCCTCCTCCTCCTCCTCCTCCTACCCCTCCTCCTCTCCCCCTCCTCCCTCGCCCTCTCCCTCGCCCTCTCTCTCTTCCTCTCCCTCGCCCTCTCCCTCCTCCTTTCCCTCCTCCTCCTCCTTTCCCTCCTCCTCCCTCCTCCTCCTCCTCCTCCTCCTCCTCCTCCTCCTCCTCCTCCTCCTCACCCTCCTCACCCTCCCTTTCAGACTGGACGTCAGCATGGCGACCCCGCCGACTCTGTCGGGGCTGCCCGCAACTGCGTAACCACATCCCAGGGCGAAGGGTACCGCGGGACCCTATGGGCTGGCACCCCTAAGGGCCCCACAGCTCAACGGCGCAGCAGGACCCCACTCCGCGACCAGAGTTTCTGGCCTGGTGAAGAGGCCCATCTGCGGGACGCAGGTGAAATAGCGCTCGCCCTTCACCGAACCGTCGTTCTTGCCGTCCAGGGTGTCCAGCTCCTGGGAGCAGTATCCGAACAAAAGTCAAACTCTGCGCGACCACAATCAGGAATATCCCTTCGGCTGACGGTGTCCACGCTCAACTCCATGGAATGGCATACAATCCAAAGAATCCCACAAGCCTTCTTGGCTGAAGTGGTTTAGAGCGGTTCCTCATCCATCCTCCCCCTTCTTCCCCATATTCGAGGGGTTTACCACTCCTCCTGCCTCACCCTCCTGGGTCCAGACGGGGGCACTCCTGGGTCCAGACGGGGGGCTCGCCCGAGCGCGGTGGCGGAATCGCGCGGCACCGCCGCTGGATTTGCGTGATATATATATATATATATATATAGATATATATATATATATATATATATATATATATATATACAGACATGTACATATGCACATACGTACATGCATATATGTATATATGTGTGTATATATGTATAAGTGTGTGTACATATATATATATATATATATAACATACGCGTGTGTGGCGTTTGCGCGCTTTTGCGCTCGGAGCTCCACACCCGCCCACATGCCAGTCGAGAACTTCGTCTGGCCGAAGAAGCGGAGTGTGCCCTGGCACGGGTCCGAACAGGGCACAGAACCAATACCTCCACCTCCCCCTCCCCACGCCACCCTCATCCCCCACTCCTCATTCCCTGCAGCGGTGTGGGGGGGAAGGCGGCACGGGTTCTGAAAATCTTTCACCGCGGGACCTTGAGCTGACCAGGATTGACGACGACGCGCCCGCCGACGACGACGCCAGGAGGCAAGTCCTCGAGCGGCATCCCGCAGCGCTGGGCCTCGGCCGGTCTGTCAAGCAATCCGCGCTCGCGTGCTTGAGCCGAGACACCTACGGACAGTTCGCCGGGGGGTGGCGAGGCCAGGGCGTGCGGTCGAGCGCCACAAGAGCCGTTTTGCAGCTCCTTTTCGTACGATGGTCAAAGACCTAAGAAGGATCCGCCGCCGTACTGTGCCGTTGGCACTGAGTTGAGCGTCCTCAGGTCTCTTCGAGTTCTCCGAGGTGAGTGCGGTCTGAGGAGGTAAATCACTCCTGTTCCAAAGACACTCTTCCCTTCGGGGAGGGGTATCCTGCCTCCCCCCCTCCTCCCCGAGTTTTTGTTGGGGAGGAGTCGCGATGTATCAAGGAGGTATTTTTCCTCCCAGATGCCCCACAAGATGGCGCAAGATAGCTAACATTGTCTCAGCATGGCTTCCACATACCTACAACAGGCCCCAAAAGTACCACAGGACAGCTCCAAGTGTTATCGGAGTCCTCCAACACTTCCCCGAGAAACCAACACGCATCAACTGCCTAATGGAATTCAATGATTGTTGCCGTCTCGCCGTTTCGCTTCCCATGCAGCTTTGAGGCTATAAGATGGCCCAAGAGAACCCTAACGTGTTCCCAAGAAGCCCCCCAAGATCGCCCAAGAGCGTTCCAAGAGGGCCCCAAGAAAGCTCCAAGATGGCCCAAAGAGGCCTCCAAGCCTCCCAAAAAGGCCCCCAAGACGCCAGAGACCCCAAAACGAGACCCACGAGACCCCCGAAGACCCTACAAGATAGCCCCGAGAGTGGCCCCACGAGGGCCGCGAGGGCGCGCCAAGAGGACTCCAATGGGCCTCCAGAAGACCCCAAGACGGCTGCCAGAGTCTTAGTCTCCTCCTCATCTTCACCATGTTCGTCCTCGCCTTCCTATTGCTCCTCGTCCTCCTCCTCATCCTCCCCCTCCTCCTCCTCTTTCTCCTCCTCTTCCCTCCTCCTCCTCCTCCTGCTGCTCCTCCTCCTCCTCCTCCCCCTCCTCCTCCTCTCCTCCTCCTCCTCCTCCTCCTCCTCCTCCTCCTCCTCCTCCTCCTCCTCCTCCCTCCTCCTGCTCCTACTCCTACTCCCTCCACCTGCTCCTACTCCTACTCTTCCACCTGCTCCTCTCACTCCTCCTCCTCCTCCTCCCTCTCCTCCTCCTCCCTCCTCCTCCTCCTCCTCCTCCTCCTCCTCCTCCTCCTCCTCCTCCTCCTCCTCCTAGTCCTCCTCCTTTTTTTCCTCTTCCTCCTCATCATCATAATCCTCCTCCTCCTCCTCCTCCTCCTCCTCCTCCTCCTCTCCTCCTCCTCCTCCTCCTCCATCCTCCTCCGTTTCCTTGTTCAGCCGACATTGCCGCAACATCCGTAACTCCGTAGCTCCTCTTCCTCCTCCTCCTCTTCCTCCGCATCCTCCTCCCCCTCCTCCTGCACCACCTCCTCCTTCTCCTCCTCTGCGTCCTCGTCGTCGTCCTCCTCCTCTTTTTCCTCCTCCTAACTCTCGTACTCGTCCCCCACCCTTTTCTTTACAAATAATTCCCCCCTGTCCAACCCCGAGGCCGGTCGAAAAGGCGGGCTGGGCGTTTCACCCCAGACTGCATCACAGTTTAAGCTGTTGGAGCTTGAAAATTGCAGAAGCTTCAAGGATGGAGGACTGCTCCTTTTCAAAATGTGGCGCTCGCCCTGCGCCGCGCACTTTCGGTTTAACACATTGCAGGACTCACTCATGGCTAACACGTCCCACAAATTGTGTTTGGGCAAGATGTCGGAATGTCAGGGCGCAGCAGTCACGTTGATTCGCGGTGTTGAAGCCCCATGAATGGCGTCCTGGCACGATCCCATACCGTCAATACGCAACAGTAACGGTGATTCGCCGCGTTGCCGTCCCAGGCAGACACGGTGTTCTGGCACAGTTCTGGATGTTCAAACGGTTGTCTTCCAACGGGGTTCGTTCATGAGTCTCGGGTTAGCACTGGTCCTCGTCCCCATCTTCATCTTCGTATTCCTACTCGTTGTCGTCATCGTCCTGGGTCTGATCAGGCTGCTCTGGCACTTGTTCCACTGCGCGCATGTACATATTGTCATGTCGAAGCATATCAGGTGGGCATCGTTCCTGGATGGGCTGGCGGGGGTACATTCTGATCGCGACCGCAGCGAGAGATCGGGCGGCGCCAAGGGGCGAAGCGCAGAGGCGACGGCCTAAACGAACGCACGGGGAGAGGACGGCAAAAATACACAAGACCAAGCAAAAAGGGGGGGGGCTAACAGGAGGCGAGCCTCGCCGCCGCTCGCAGGAGAGCGCGCGCCAAGAAGTCCTCCCGGGCGGCGTGCAGCACCAGGTGCTAATTCGGGTAGCCAATCACGTCCCTGACGAGGAAGACCGCCACCATGACGCACGGCAAGCGCAGGGCAGGACGAGGGACGCGGAACGTATGACAGAAAGCCACCGTTTCAGAGGAAAGACTAGGCATGCGGGCGCCCAACGGAATAGACGGCTGGTGGGGATACTTTTGATCGCGACCGCGGCGAAGAATCGGTCGGGCGGCGTCTGGGCATTGCGAACGAGCAACGGCCTAAATTAGAAGACGAGAACAAGAAGGGGAAGAGACAAGCAGAAGGCGAGCCTCGCTGCCGCTCAGGAGGCGCACGCCAGGAAGCACATCCGGGTGACGTGCAGCACCAGGTGTTAATTCAGGGAACCCATCACGTCCCTGACGAGGAAGACCGCCGGCAAGACGAACAGCAGGCCCAGGCGAAAACGAGGGATGTGGCACCTTGACAGCGAGCCACCGACCCAGAAGAAAGACGGGCCATGCAGGCGCTCGACGGAAACGTTCTGGATCGCAAGACACCGAAAGTGCAAAACAGGGCTAGGATCGAGATAAATCGCCCCAGAGCGTTCTGGAGCGCTCTCAGAGCGTTCCGGAACGCTCTGGAGCGGCCGCGGCGCCCAATACATCCTTGCAACCCGCCGATTCTCAAAGATTTCGAGTTATCCCGATCCGATTTTGTCCCGATCTTCGCGTCGTTTTGAAGTGTCGAGGGAGCGACAAGGGGGTCCCGACCGGACCGCGCTGCCAGAGGCGGAAGGACACGGCCAGAGGGCCGGGGGGGGGCGGCGGGGGGGCGGAGAGCCGAAGTGGCGGGTGCGAGCCGCACGCGCAGCCCACGAAGCGTCAAAAACTGCTGTGCAACGTTTTCGGCCCATAAGGGGGGAGACGCGGACTGGCTCCAGAAGACAGGGAGGCCACAGGGGAGCCTAGGCCCCAGGAGGCCTCCAAGAGGCTCCCAGTAAGCCCCCGAGAGGCCTCCAAGAGGTGCCCAAGAGGACCCCAAGAGGCCCCAAGAGTCCCCCAGAGGCCAACAAGAGGCATCGCAAGAGGCCCCAAGAGGCATCCAAGAGGACTCAGGCCTACAACCCAGGCACGTGGGGCCAGTGGGCAGACGGCCACTGGATACCCACTGTTGGAACAAAAAGAAACGAGAGTCAGGTTGCCCGGCACGTGGTCTCTGTCAATCGTCGTGGTAGTCCGATGCTCGCCAAACTGAATGCTACGGGCGATGCCGCCCGACGTGTCTACTAGAGGCTACTACAGTCTGTCGACTGGCAACTTCTCGGCCCGCAGAATCGGTAGCCATTTCTCACCCGCCCGTCCTCGGACTTCCTCCACCTCCTCCGCCTCCTGTGCGTTCTCGTTCGGCAATATGGTTAATCTCGATGTCGCTTGGAATGGTTCTTCGGGGGGAGACGTGAGACGCTTGTGGGGGAGGGAGAGGGTGGAGAGGGAGTAAAAGCGTAACCGACCAACAAAGGCAATGACAAAGATGTGGGTGGGGGCAACAAGGCCATAGCTACTACATAACCAATGCGAGCGTCAAACACACCGTCGTTGCCACTACGAAGTGCAACGTATACGCGACTGGCTCTTGCAACAGCACTGCACAATTGTATTGGTACGAATGCTAGCTAGCATCATGTCAACCGTTACCGTGCCAACGGCACGTATCGTAGAGCCCTCAGGTCCCTTATTCCTTCGAAGTCCTGTATTGAGCTCTAAAATTTAAGCACAATTGGGGACCCAGGCCCCCGATGGACGGCGTTCTCGGGAGAAACATTTCTTCGGCGCGTGACTGCCCCCGAGGCCTTGGAATTACAATTGAGAATACAAGCTGCGGCACGCTGAAAAATGTCCCAATGGCCCATCCTGAGCTGCTATCCGTTGTCCCTTGGGCATGTCGGGGGCATCTGCTCATGGGCTCAAGCACCTCACACCCAGAGGATGTGTAGTACATATCACAGTAGCAATCTGGCCTCTGCGGGTTCAAGAGCGGCCCAAGAGGATCCCACGATCGGTTCATGATATCCCCCGAGGCCCCCAGTAGGGGCTCTAGGGGCAAATGAGCGTTTTTATGTTATTCCACGTTTCGGCATTGGGCGGAAAGGGGGGAGGGGGGGGAATGGCTCCAGACCTCTGCTGAGTGCGACTGTTTGCAACCGTGCGTCCTGTGGGGGAGGCTCCACCTGCCCGAAGTAGGCGCCCCAAACAGCCAAGATCTACTCCATGGAGGGGGACAGGGGAGGGGAGGCGCGAGGGCCCGCACCGATCGGCAAAACAATGAAAACCAGAACGATCACTGGGGGAGGCAATGAACCCTCAGGGACATGATCTGGAGTCCGCCCCGACGAAAGTCCGAAGACCTCCCAGGGGCCCAAGCGAGTCAACGAGGCTTCCACGACGCCAACTAACTGGAGCCCCCCATATGGCCGCAAGAAGCCCCCAAGAGGCTCCCAAGAGGTCCCCAAGTGGTCCCCAGGTGCCCCCCTAGAGACACCGTGTAGGCTGCCGCCCAGTTCGCCTTCGCCATCCTCCTCCTCCTCCTCCTCCTCCTCCTCCTGCTCCTTCCCATCCTCCTCCTCCTCTTCCTCGAGGCCCCTCGCATTCCCGCCGACGTTCCTGCTGCGCGCTGCATGGGCCGAATGCGATTAGACAAATGTCACCCGAGTAGACACCGTGGCAGCATGGTGGTGAAGCCGAGCCACAGGAGGAGGGCGAGGAGAAACGAGAAAAGACCCTGGCGAATGACACAACCATATGCAGTTGTGAGTGCCGCAGTCGTGAAACCATGTCTGTTGTGGTGCCCCCATATGGGGCCACGAAACGTGAGAGGGGCGTGCCAACATGGGCGAGGAGTCACATGTGGCCGCACCCCCTGGAGCCTTAGGTGAAGCCCCATCCAGGGCCACGAAATGTGTGAGAGGCGTGCCGAAATGGACGTGTGGTGGGCGGCAAGTGGCATGTGGTCGACCCACTGGTGCCTTTGGTGGAACTCTCCGATGGGACGACGAAACGTCTGAGGGGTGTGCAGAAATGAACATGCGGTGGGCGGGGAGCCGCATGTCGCCGTACCCACTAGGTGGAGCTCCCTATGGGACGGCGGAACTTGTGAAGCGTGTGCAAAAAGGGACATGCGGCGGGTTGGCAGCCGCATGTGGTCGCACTCTCTGAGGCCTTACGTGGAGCCCCCTATAGGGCCACGCAACGTGTGAGGGGTCTGCAGAAATGAACATGCGGTGGGCGGGGAGCCGCATGTGGCCATACCCACTACTGCCTCAGGTGGAGCTTCCTTCTGGGGGCACGGACCGTGTGAGGGATGTGCAGACATGGACTTGGGGTGGGTGGGGAGCCGCATGTGGTCACACCCCATCGGGCCGTACGTGGAGCTTCTGAGGCCACCGAACGTGTGAGGGGTGTACCAACATGGACATGTGGTGGGCGGGGAGTCGCATGTGGCCGCGCCCTCTGTGGCCTTAGGTGGAGCTCCCCATGGGGCCACGAACTCTGCGAGGGGTGTGCAGACATCGGCATGCAGTGGGTGGGGAGCCGCATGCGGCCGCACCCTCTGGGGTCTATTAAGTGGCGCCCCCTGTGGGGCCACGACACGTGTGAGGGCTGGGCATGCATGGTGGGCAGAGGCAGGTTAAGGAAAAATGAGAAAATGATGGAGTAAGGTATGAAGTGCCGTCTCCTCATCGCAAGGCCCCACCCACACACGATGTGTGTGACTACCTACCAGACCACCCCAACCCAACCCGAAGACCCGAATTTCGGGTTGGGGGGGGGGTGCGGGCTTCCTATGTGGTTCTTTACCAGATTCCCCGCCCCCCTCCCCACCACCACTGGGAGCGGAGAGCAAATAGGGACCTTCGCCTTGTGTCGGGTTGGTTTGGTGCAAGGAAGGCCAGTCCACAAGAAATCTTCCACAATAAACCAAACCCTGACACCTCGGGACGTCCATCGACTTTTTGTGTGGGAACGTCACGCTGTTCATAGCAAAACCATCGAAACCCAAGAAACCCAGGGCACCCTGGACGCAAACAGGGTGTGTCTTGGCATGGGTCTCCACTGTAGGTGGTGATGATGGCTGGGGAGAACAGGGAGCAAGTACTGGGGGGAGAGGGCGCCCGCTCATCATCATCATCATCATCATCATCATCATCATCATCATCATCATCATCATCATCATCATCAGCAGCATCATCATCATCACCATCATCATCATCATCATCAGCATCATCATCATTATCAGCATCATCATCAGCAGCATCATCATAATCAGCATCATCATAATCATCATCATCAGCAGCATCATCAACATCAGCATCAGCATCATCATCATCAGTAGCATCGTCATCAGCATCATCATCAGTAGCATCATCAGCATCGTCATCATCATCAACAGCATCAGCAACAACAACATCGCCCAGACGGCCTGCCTGCACGATGGCGTCGGAAAGCCCCTGCAAGGCGTCCGCACGGAACCTTGCGTCCTGCGGGGTCAGCTCTGCCGGCGCGTTGGCGTGTCCTCCGCCCTCCCACCACAAACCAGCCCTCATTCATACACGGCGGTCCGCAGGCCTGCGAACTGGCCTGCCGGCCCTGGCCTGCCCTCCGAGCAACGAGCCTCCTCCTCCTCCTCATCCACTTCCTCTTCCTCCGCCTCGTCCTGCGATCCCCCCCCTGTGACTTTGTTTAGTCCATGCTGGCGTCGTTTTGCTTCGAGCGCGCAGGCTACATCCTGCGAGCTCAAACAATGGCCTAGCTCGGCTTAGTCTGGACTGGCCTACGTTTACGTATTATGCCACTCGTCGTGCGAGTCAGAAATCAGCGCAGCCAAACGTATGTTGGTCTAGCTTCGTTTGTGGTATCCCATTTGTCATCTGGTCGTCTAGGTCCGCTCGGCTTCGCCTTGTTCCGCGATGTATAAGCTACCTGGTAATCAATCGTACATTATCAACCAACGTGTCACCTACCCACCAGGTCATAGTAGCGTCGCAGGGCACGCCATAGTCAAATCAACCAGCTAAGCTGAAGTCAGCCAAGTGGGATAAGCCAAAGAGTGGGGAGGCTAAGCTAAGCTACAATGAGCTGGGCTAAGCACGTGGCTTGACCGAGATCCGCGAGCTAGGTTAAGCTGCGCTAGGCTGTGAGAAACTATGCTACACGAGGTGATCCTGCACGAAGCTTGGCCCAGCGTACCATATCGCATGATCGAAATGACCAGCTCATCTCAGATCACGGCACCCTTGTGCACGGTACTATGACTTAATCCAACATGCATCCAGATGTATGACTTGGATGTTTAGGTTGAACGGCCGGTGGCATTTCTGCCCGAATGCACTTTGAACCTGCCATTGCGCCCCCGCCAACTTAGTCACGTTGGCGGTTGGGTTTAGCGAGAGCGATTGGTTGAGTTTGACAGTTGGACCCGCTGCCTGTGCAATATCAGTATGGAAGTTGGCTGTACGGTTGCTCCCTTCACGCTGCAACGTCCATCGATGGAGTTGATGGCATCGTATACATCCTGCTTGTCTAAGCCTCCACTCTGGTGTGGGCTCTGGCCCAGTATACACTGACTCGACCTGTCCAAGCAGCTGAGCCTGAACTTCGACAGCCTGTGGAGTGGTTCGCATTCAACCGTACGGCCAGGCTGAGATGCATCACGCGCCCGTAGTAGGTCGGGCATGTCCTCCGTCAGGCGGAGTTTGGAGGAAAGTAAAGAATAGCCAAACATATCCAAGCATAGCCAAACCATGTTAGAACCCGGACGATATTTTGACTATTTCTGAATATTTCCCTGTAGGAAGACATGCCCGATTCGATGCTCGTATGATGGCAGCGGATCTGGTCTGTTATCATGTCAGGCAGCGGCCGTTACCAAAGGAGACGAGGGGGGAGCGGCGGGGAACGTCAACGCTGGAACGGGGTGGGGCACGCCAGGGTGGGGGCGCTCTGCGATCGCCACAGTGTGCGCGCGAGCACCAGCATGAGGGGTGGGAGGAGGGAGGAGGGAGGAGGGAGGAGGGAGGAGGGGGAGGGAGGAGGGGGAGGAGGAGGGAGGAGGGAGGAGGAGAAGGAGGAGGGAGGAGGGAGGAGGGAACGAGGGAGGAGGAGGGAGGAGGAGGGAGGAGGAGGAGGAGGAGGAGGAAGAGGGGAAGGGGGGGTGGTCCAGCGCCCCCCCCCACACGTGCGATCGCTACTGTGCTGGTCACGACCGCTACGCGCCAGAAGGATCGACAAGATCCGCCGACCCTGTCTGCGCATGTGAGGGGCGTACCCGTTTGCGTCGTCGTCGTCCTCGTCGTCGCCGTCGCCGCCTCCCCCCTGTGCCTGTCTGCGGGCCGTCGTCAACCAAACGTCCCAGCCAGAGAGCAATCGACGAACGTAGTCGAGGCAGAGGTAATCCCCTTCCCTGTGAAGTCCTCTCCCGCCCAGAGGGGGGGGGAGGAGGGGTCCACGGGATGTGACCCCCCGCCGCGTGGGGGAGGACCCCTCCCTGGGAGACAAGTTCCTTTCGATATCATGCCTCCCCGACGCCTCCAGAAGATGGCTGGATAACCAATGTTCTCCACATTGGCTGTCCAGAGTTTGTGCTCATAGCCTGGTGCCCTAACCGCTCTAAGCACATCCTGTGTGCTACCCGACAAGGCACGGTACGCCGTTTTCGATATGAGCTGACGTCCCTTTCGGTGGCACGAAACACAGTAATGCCACACCCCACGGGCCCACACCGCAATGCGCGGGCGGGTGGCAGGCAGGGGCGGGGGCGGGGGTCGTGGCACCCCCCGAAGGGATCCGCACAGCTCTTTCGTGGGCGGCCAAGCGTCTAGGATTTCGAGCATTGCTTTAGCATCACTCTTGAACTGATGGGTGCATTCCTTATACACATCACGTCCTGACCCGTTATTCTCGAGCGCCGCCTCGTTCGACTTGGCATCGGCGTGGGCGTTCCCTCGGATCATCGATAGATCCTGTGGCGACGAAGCGTCAGACTCAATAAAATTATCCCGGCAAAGCAACCTAACAGCGATGTAGGAGCATATCTGGAAGCATTCCCCTTAAGATTCGGATGAGAATCCAGTTGTAGAATTCTGCTGTTCTCGCAGTCGTAGTCGCATTTGCGATGACAGTCGCAGTGGCAGCGGCAGTCGCAGTCACAGTCACAGCCTCAGCCTGCCTCAGCATCAGCCTCAGCCTGCCTCAGCCTCAGCCTCAGCCTGCTTCAGCCTCAGCCTCAGTCTGCCTTCAGCCTCGGCCTCAGCCTCCGCCTGCCTCAGCCTCAGCCTGCATCAGCCTCAGCCTCAGCCTCAGCCTGCCTCAGCATCAGCCTGCCTCAGCCTCAGCCTCAGCCTGCCTCTGCCCCAGCCTGCTTCAGCCTCAGCCTCAGTCTGCCTTCAGCCTCGGCCTCAGCCTCAGCCTGCCTCAGCCTCAGCCTGCATCAGCCTCAGCCTCAGCCTCAGCCTGCCTCAGCATCAGCCAGCCTCAGCCTCAGCCTCAGCCTCAGCCTGCCTGCCTTCAGCCTCAGCCTCAGTCTGCCTTCAACCTCGGCCTCCGCCTCAGCCTGCCTCAGCCTCAGCCTGCATCAGCCAGCCTCAGCCTCAGCCTGCCTCAGCCTCAGCCTGCCTCAGCATCAGCCTGCCTCAGCCTCAGCCTCAGCCTGCCTCAGCCTCAGCCTCAGCCTCAGCCACAGCCTGCTTCAGCCAAAGCCTCAGTCTGCCTTCAGCCTTGGCCTCAGCCTCAGCCTGCCTCAGCCTCAGCCTGCTTCAGCCTCAGCCTCAGCCTCGGCCCGCCTCAGCATCTGTGTATGGGGTTGAAGTACAAGTGTACAGAACCCCTGGTCCGTTGGTAGAGAGATGGAGGGATAGATGGATATCTTTCCCTCCCACGCGGCCAAGGTACGATCGCTCCAATTCAGTACCTGAGCCCAAACGGCCAGGTGCGGGAGAGGTAAGGATAAGGAGTATATATGAGGGTATTACACGGGTTCCTTCCACACCCCCCGTCCCGAATCCCGCCCGTGAAGGCAGGACTCGGGAACAGAGGATAGGAATCCGTAACCTCTGAACTCCTTTAGTCCTTAAGTCAGAAAGGCAGCTGAGGCGTAGAAAACAGCGAAGCCACAGCTGCAAAGTGAGGTAAAAAGAGATACCCTAAGTCCCCCTTTCATCCCCGGGCGCACTTTGGCGCCCCCTCGGTGCGCCCCCCAAAACGCTTCGGCACTCGAGGGAGGGGAAGAATGAGACAAGGGTAGGCGGAGAAAGTAGATCTGAGCATCAAGGCAACATGCAATCTGCCTCGCAAGATTTGCGAGGCAGGTGCTGCCACCAGCAAGCAGATTATTCTCGACGCAATGTTGTTCAAATTGGTAAAATATGCATGCGAAGATCGTGCTGACGAACACAATCTTGACATGAAACACAAGTCTGCCTAAAAAGTAAATGTGTGCTAAGATCGCGTCGACGAGCACGTTTCTGGAAAGAAACGCAAATCTGTGTAAAGCAAGTGTCTGGCCAGACAAAATGTCGCGTTGATGAACACGAAAAGAGATGTATAAAAAATCTGGTTGGCGACTCCCGTTGGCGTTGCTCCTTAGGAGGCTGCCTCGGTGATCGCAAAAGGCATATATATGTGTGCACGGCCACTTGTTGGAATGATTGAAGTGGCCTAATAGAATATATTAGCCACCGCTCAAGGCGAACTTTGATGAAAGGAAGTTCTGCTCTTGAGCAATGGGCCTTGCGGCCGACTCACTACGCGTCGCCGTCCTTGTAGAACCTGCGGCCCCACGCCCTCTGGCCGTTGCACGTCGCGTAGCTTGTCGTAAACGTTTCCCAAGTTGTCCTCGGGATCCAGTTGCGGAACCAATCGTTGTACGTGATATCCTGGATGTACACATACTCGTCGTTGTTGATCGCAATGTAGATCCAATATTTGATGTAGTAACTCCAGTATCGAAGACCCCAATCGCTGTCTTCGAGATTGTGGCGCCAGTAAGCAGCGTAATCAGATGTACGTGCTCTCTTGGCGCGCGGCATCGCGGGCGTGTAGTCCTCCGCGCCTGAGGCGCTGGATGCAGCAGCGTCGCCAGGAGCAGGGCGCGGCGGCGGGCGCGGCGGCGGCCGCGGCTCCATGGCGTCATCGGACTGTTGGGATTGTGTATCGGGATCGGTTCTCATCCCTGTACTACCCCCCCTTTGGTCGGTGTGTGACGGATCGAGGGAGCCTATCAGTTCGTTGGCAATCGCGGCAAGCTTGCGCTGGGTGAACTGTTCACGGGTTCCGTCCCTTCGAGGGAGAGAAACCGTAATCAGTCCGCGCGCCTGCCGCGTCTGCCTGTCAATGCGTCCCTCGTTCAGCCACCACTTTCTCCGACCAGCCTGTCCTGTCCTAATGCTGACGTCAAGGATGTCCCACGCGTCGCGCATGTCCTCGACGGTCCAGGGCTTCTTGCCGACATTCACGCGGGCACCTGTCATCTGATGATGGAACTTGAGGTCGTTGAGAAAGCGTTGTATGAGATTGGCGAATGGGTAGTACAGAGGTCGGTCGTCCTCGGATTCGCCCATTAATCTGCATTCGTGTGCAGGCGGGCGACCGGCTTCGACCCACTTCTGATACCTCTTTTTGGACGTATTGGCCAATCTCCGCAACTGATCTTTCTCTGTGCCTATGTGCGATCGCGCACCCGTCATAATGACGTGTGCGCCATCCTTCATGTATCTCGCGACCTGGTCCTCGGACAACGTCGTCTTGATCCAGTTCGTCAACTTCTGCAGGTACGCGAGATCGCTCTGTGTGGCGGTGCTCTTACCTGTGGCGCCTACGGCCACAGTGTATTGCCAACATATATCACAGAGTGTGCCGTCACCTGTGACAATCCCGAGGGACAGATCTCGACCGCAATTGTGACAGAGCGGTATGGGATGCAAGATCGTCTCGGGGGCCCCTGCCGAAGTCAGGTGATCGCGGGATCCCCAGCGGGTGTCCTGACCGCGAGCGAGGCTCTGACCGATCTGATTGATCGCCTCACGATTGATCTCGGTGTTCGGTCTGGAAGCGATCGATCTGCTTAAACCCTCGATCTCGATCCGAGACAACCTTTCCCCTGGCAGTCCTTTGTACTCTATCTTGATGTTGTCGGTATCCTCAGTACCGCCATGGCATACGTTCTCCTCACGAAGACGGCGAGCCTGCTTCTGCAAGGTAGCCTCGTTGTCGCCCTCCTCGCGCTTGAGTCCCGTCTGCTCGGCTATGATACGTACCATAGTTTCCTGATCGGGAGCTGCAGAGGCAACACTGCCTGGGTCCTGGGGAATATCCTGCTCAGCGCCTTGCTCTCGAGGCGCAGCAGGTGTTTCCACCAGCTCTTCCCATACAGGAAAATCTGGATTACCGTACGTCGCAGTACAATTTTTAATAGGTCACGCAATGCCTGAAGTGCAGGATGGTTGTCATGGATGACTTCCTTGGCGAAATCTGGTAGTTCCACAATACTATATTTCAAGATGTTCTGGTATACTTTGGAAATCCATTGAAAGATGCCTGTGGTCGACTCCTCGATAGTCTCTGGGTCGAGGTAGTGTACCAACTTTTTGAAGAAATGATCTGCACCACAATTGGGTAAGTCACGTGCCCACTTGTGGGTATGATTGTAGTTCAATTGATATGACTCCGCATTCCATGCTTTCGATCCAAATCGAATTTCAAATTGTAAATGTGACTGAATTTTGTCCATTACGATTCTGCCTGCGCCACTGTGTAGCTCGATGATCTGCTTCATCTTGATCATAGGCGAATCCACCAATAACGCCGATGTCCAACAATACACGCGGCAATCATCAGACTGTCTAATCCATCTTGAATCCTCGTCGGGGTCGTAATCTGGATGGTCAAGGAAATTTGATGGCGGATCAATGATGTTATCGAGGATGCGTGCCTCAATCTGCTCTTATGCTTGGATGTCTGCCGAGAGGTCTGCTCTCATGTTGTCGTTCGCAGCTTTCCCATCGGCAGTAAGAGCGATATTTGATACGTCCACGATTACGGTGATCAGTGGATCATGCGATGATGCTGCACCCCGTCGAGGAAATTCGCCCGTCTGAGCGTTGTCCTCGGCAGGTGTGGCCACCAGCTCGTCTGGATCAGGTGTCCGTGGAGCGGGCCTGCTTGGTGGTGTACGCGGAATACGTGGTCTATGGATGCTAGGCATTCCAAGGTATGGTAAGCTGCCGCTAACCTTGTGCTGTAGTATCTCCTCGCTGCATGGTGTCGGGCCTTTCAGGACAGTCTCCATCCATGTTGGATCGATGGCGTGTTCTTCGATACGAATCGGTAATGCAAATACGACGCCCTTGAGGGGCATGCTTTTGTCATTACCAGATATTTACCCATCGTAAACCGTAGTTGAGAATAGGTACTTGTACCGCAAAGAACTTGTCGAAGATGCCGAAATGGATGATTGGACCATATATGTGTCCCTTGGACAAGGCAATCTTGGTAGTGTGATTGCCTTTGGGCCAGTGGTTGTCGTAGTGGAAGCATTTGATAGAGCCCCAATTCTTAATGACGATGAAGTCGCCCATTCGAACATCGTTAAATGCAGGACGACGATCCCAATCTGTTTGCATGATCTTTGATGTGATTGGTCGAAGAGCTTCACGACAATGTGACAATGCAATTAACCATTATTTATCATCTGCTTTGTGATTGGTCTCCTGAATCATAGCGCGTACTATTTGCTCATCCAAGGCGTCCTCTGCGGATGTACGGCCAGCAGGGGTTTCCCCCGGCCTGGCCGAGGGTGCTGGTGCTGGCGTCGTCCTTGGAGGCTCCATGTTGTGGTCGGGGTCGATAGGTGCCAATCCAGGTGGGTCGTCAATAAGTTCTCCAGGGAGGCAGGCGCAAATCTCGTATTTGCTCAATGGCTCTCTGGCTGCCAATGGCGGGTAGTCCCATGGGTCGCCATCTGGCC